TTCATCCTGCTCCTTGCCAAATTATGCTTAGACTGCTACAGAAAAAAGACTCCCTTTCCCCTTTTCACTTAAATTTTAAACATAAAAAATAAAAATTCATTCCTCATAAAGAAAAATTTAAAATATGCTTTGATAATGCTAGTATTAATTTAATTTAAAGGTAGTTTTTTACAGCTGTCTAATGTCTTCAAATTTTTTAAACTTGCCAATTGGAGCCCTATCAGCTCTTGATTACCCTAAGGGAATGAAGTGCTGCTATCACACACACTTGAGAGGCTAATCTTTCTCTCATATTCCTGTACTTTCCAGAGGCCTCAATCTTTTTTACAGCTTCCCTGACCAGAGCCTTCTTCTTTGCTTTTATACCATCATTCCCTGAATTTCATTTGTTTTAATGGGTTCCAAATACAACATAGGTTGTTTCCCAGGTGAATGTTAATAATCCAAAATACTTAAATGATATTAGATTTCCATTGTCCTGCTATTGAATTTGATCACTAATGACTAAATGAATCTTTATGAGATTTGTATAGGGTATGTCCAGGGAGGTCTGAGAACATACAGGCTATGTGGTATACAAAGAATGCGCTTTGGAATTGCCTTCGGGATATACAAGCAAGGCAGTTGTCTTCTAGAGTAGCTGAAACCCAGATACAAGATATGTATGTGTGTGAGAGAGAGATGCTATGTCACTGGGAAGAGACTAAGATTTTTGGGCCAAAACTGAATAATAAAAACAGTTTGTGCAGTGCCAAGGACTGAACCCAGGTCCTCCTGCATGCTGGGCCAGGATTCAACAACTCAGCTATACTGCCAAACCCAAAGAAATTTTTAATTAAATAAATTCTAAGAAAATATCATTATGTAATAAAATATTTTGTGCATAACTGTAGCAAAAGGATAACAACTCCAATGTGGTACATTACCTCTAATTTAAGCATACCATTTATGTATTTATTTAGGTACTGGTGATGGGAACAGAGCCTGATGCATGCTGGGGAAGCACTTCACTACTGAGCCACAACCTATATAGTATGTATGTATGTATGTACATATGTATGTATGTATGTATGTATGTATGTATGTATGTATGTATTATGTCCATAGCCCAGAATGGCCTTAAAGTCTCTATATAGCCAGAAGTGACCTTAAAATTCTAATCTCCTTACCTCTACCACCATTACATTGGGACTCCACGCATGCACTGTCATATCTAGTTTATATAGTGATGCGGACTGAACTCAGGGCTTCTTGCATGCTACCCAGGTCCTCTAAAAGAGCAGTCAGTGCTCTTAAACACTAACCCATTTCTCCAGCCCACCAATCTTATATTTTTAAATATGCAAGTGACTTCAAATATCTAATATGTTTAAATAAAAAAAATGCTAATATGTTTAAATAAAAAAATAAATAAATAAGTTTTCAATTTTTATCTAGTCTTTTTTTTTTTGAGACAATGTCTCATTCAGTAGCTAGAGCTAGCTTCAAATTTGCCATTGAGCTGAGGATGACCTTGAAATCCTGATCCCCCTGCTTCTGCCTCATGGTGGCTGGGATTATAAGTGAGCTACACCATGCACAGCCAGAGTTTACCTAGTCTTGTTCTTAGACTATAAAAAGCACAGCTGAGTCAGGCACATTATTAGGAGGGATGTCGTTAGTTAATCTAAGATATACAAACCATTGAGATATATGCTAGTATTTTTCTATATTTTTCTTCTCTTTTCCTATCATAATTTAGTTTTCACAAACACAATTTTAGTTTTCTCCCTATTTACCCTTTTACCTGTCAACAATAGTTGAACTTTGTACTAAATACATAGTTCAGTAGTTGTATTTAAAAAGGAAGAGGAACACAGCTTAGTGACACAACACTGGTAAGTGTGGTGTGTTCAGCTGAACACTTAATTAAAATGTCCAATTCACAGTTATATAGACATATATAATGTCGATATGTCTTTAAATAGATTTCTATTGGGATAGAATCAAAAACCTCTAGTAACTTATCAAATACATTTCTAAAATAAATGCTTTAAAAACAGTTTGCTGAAGGCTGGAGAGCTGCTTGTCCTTTGAGAAAACACCCTGCTCTTGCAGAGGACCAGGGTTCTGATCCAGCACCCATACCAGGCAGCTCACAACCACCTGAGGACAACTGCAGTCACATGCAAATATCCCCTACCCCCTACCCCCCACATATACATAATGACAGGGAGGGATGGGAAATATGTGAATATAGTATTCACATATGAACTTCCACAACTTAAACATTTAAATTTTTAAAACCAGTTTTTAGCAGGGTGTGGTGGCTAACACTTTTAATTCCAGCATTGGGAGGCAAAGGCAAGTGGATCTCCACGAGTCTGATGCCAGCCTAGTCTACATAACAAGTCCCACGCAAGCCAGAGTCTAAAAGAACAAAAAACAATAACCAAATCAAAACAAAAACATTTGGATAACATTTAATATTAGCTAATTTTACAGCATAATTTAGCTATATTTATTTTTGCCATAATGTAAAGGAACCTTTTTTTTTGCGATGCTTCCAGGATACCTGGTCTAGAAGGGCTGATTGTTCTGTGAATTTTAAAATAAAAACATCATGATTATTACAAGACAACTTTTAAATAAAAATCAATCATTATAAAGAAATAAGTCTATGTACTAGTGAGAACTATGTATAATATAAAATATCACATTGTTGCGTTGCCTTTCTCTAAATATTAATATAAAATAAGATTTAAAAAACAAAGATGAAAAAGTTCTTACAATATGCTGGGGATTGAACCCATGACCTCATGCATGCTAAGCAAGCACTGCAGAGTGCTACCACTAAGCTACAGATCCCCAGAGATTTTGTCTTTCATGTGCTTTTGAAGTCAGGTGCTGTAGAACAGTTGGTAGAGTGTTTATCCAGTATGTTAGATGCTTTGGGTTTGATCCTCAGCACCGCATAAACCAGATATGGTGGTGCATAACTGGAATCCCAGTATTTAGGAGGTGAAGGCTGGAGATTCAGAAATTACAGGCTATTCTCTGCTACATATTGAGCTTGTGTGCCATGAGGTGATCCTTTAAAAGTAAAGAAGTAAAGTGCTATCGATTGCTGATGCCTCTGAACAAATTTAAACTTGGGTAGAGACAGATAATAGTCAAGCCAGGGTTAATGGATTTCTGAGTTCATTACATGTTGTTGGTCACTTGATATTTCCTTTCACTACACAAACATGATAATTTGAAACAAATGATACTTTCATTTCAGAACCTTGGGCTCTGCTCTCTTAAGCTACTGCAATGCTGACTTGAGGGCCAGAGATAAGTTCAGTGATAGAGTGCTTGCCCTGCATACACAAGACCTTGAGTTTCATCTCCAGCATTGCAAGAGGAACTTATTTTACAAGCCATTTAGTGTTTTCAGTCAACATCAACTTAAATTGAAAAATTTCACTTAGCCTAATAGGTCTGCAATCATAGCTACTCAGGAGGCAGCCAGGGGCATGACAGATAGAAGGCCAGTTTGACATACACAGTGAGTTCAAGGCCACCCTGGGCAACTTATCAACTTGTTTTCTCATAATAAAAAAGTAAAATGAGAGCCAAGGATATAGCTTAGTGGTGGATTGCTGGACTAGTATGCACAAGACCCTGAGTTACATCTCTAGGAAAGAAAGGAAGGAAGAAAACAAAAAAAGAAAAATATTGCAAAAGAGAGAAAGGAAAAGAAAATGGTCACATATGAGTGAGTGAGCCCTGGTGGTTCATATCTGTAATCTCAGCACTGAGAAGGCTGAGGCAGGAGGATCACCTCAAGTTCAAATTTGGCCTGAGCTAAAGAGAAATACTTTGAACAAACAAAACAATACACACACACACACACACACACACACACACACACACACACACCAGCTGAAACTGTCACATGGTCCTGTGAATAGGACTTAAAGACAAACCACTACAATTCCCATAAATGTATAAGAATGGAGAAGTTATTGTTAAAACCAAATTGGAATAGAGATTTTCAAATCAATACTTTTCTCAGAAAGCAAATCAGTGGCTTCCCGGGTCATGCAGGGATGATGGGAGAAGACTGAATACAAAATGCCCCAGGAAATTAGCATGAGAACAGGTCTATATCTTTACTATGGTTGCAGTTACAGCATTTTACATGATTCCAACGTTAATTTAACCATACATTTAAAAGCTGCTAGATTTAGTTGGATGCAAGTAACATGTTTAAGAAATGAAAAAGAAGGTTACATATTGTTTTTGAACAAAATCTCAAATGTTCAAGTTTACCAAGAAAGACTCAAGAGCCAGATGCTGGGATGAAAGCCTACTAGCTCAGAGAGGCAGAGAAAGTACCCAGCTGACCTTCCTACTCAGCCTACATCCCAGAAGGATAAAAAACCCTTCTTCTTCTCTAATCTGTCTTAAATAGCCTTAAGACTCAATGTCCTTCCTTTTTTACTTCCTGTCAGTGTCTCTCTATCCATCCTCTCGACTTCCTCTCACTCTCCATGTTTTTTTTTCCTATGTTCAGTGCCTGTCAGCTGGTTTTTTGCTCCGCCTCTTGACCTATAGTTGATTTTATTTAATTCTGTTTACAGGAAGCTCTTAAATTAAAGGTGTGTCCTAGGGCTCTTAAATTAAAAGCCACACCACACCTAGAAATAAGTTTTCTAGTACACAGTCTCTCTGTCCACAGTATGACCAAATATCCTGCAACAGTTAAACAATCTCACCAGTCATTTTTTGTTTAGTTCTGAAACAGAGTCTCATTACATAACCCAAGCTGGCCTCAACACTTGAAATACTCCTGCTTCAGCTTTCTGAGTTTCCTGGCAGGTTTCTGAGATTACAGGCAGTTGTCACCAGGAAAACGATCACACCAAATCAGATATATAATAGCCAAATACATTCTCCAAAAGACTCGAGTGTGTAACTATTAATATCCATCAACATTTCAAGAGACATAGACTTTTTAGGCACTCCTTTCTTACCTTCCTAGGTTTCTTGATGACAGAAGCTATTGGCGAGCCTGGAATCCGGGTATCCCTTGTAGTGAATGGCTTCATGGTGTTATCATTCTGTGTACAGAGGAAAGATGTGCACAGTTGCAGCACTAGTAGCATACCAATCAAATACATGGGAGAAATAGCTGTTGATGAACAGGGAACTACTTAATACAGACTCACAGTACTATAGTGAAAATGTCTCACCACGAAGCAAGTGGGTAATCCAAAATTCCTGTTGATAAAGTAATGGCACTCTTGATATTTTGGAGGGGAGAACTACATGGTGCTTACCTAGTACCCCAGAAAAGTGAATAGTCAATATTGAGCAATATATACAATATACTCAGGCCCTAAAACTAATTTTTTTCCTTATGGTTGGCCCTATTGCTATACAATTGAAAACTATAAGGTAACAGACATATTTATGCCTGATATTTCATTTGTCTCTTAGTTTTAGTTGAATTGTCTTTGGTCTTTTCCTGTATAATATTACTCCAACAACTCGGGATTTTAAAATTCACTCTTTTCCAAAACTAGAGTCACCCCCAAAATTCATGTTCACCCATTCATCCATGCCAACGCCTAAAGTGATTAGAACCTGCTCAGTTAAGGAACTCCAACATGATCTACAAGCCTGAAAAAGTCCAAGATTCCAGAGGGTTTTTTGGTTTTGGTTTTTTGTTTGTTTGTTTTCTGCTTTGTTTTGTTTTGTTGACTTTCGTTTCACATGAAAACTCAGTTAGATAAAGTGAAGGTAGTTAAGGACAGGCTGTCTGCTCCATTTAGTTGGCAGTGATGGTCAGAGTTCACAGTGCTCCACATTATTATTTCTTGTCCTTGGCTTATCCAACCCAGTTACATGTTGGTGTTCTTTTTAGCTTAATGAAAAACTTTATTTTCTATTTTTGTTATCATTCCTTTCATACAGTAGCTACTTTCTTTCCATAAAAGTCTGGTTAAACTTATGACCTAGCTCTAAACAGCACACAACTCACTGTCTTCAGAAGCTACTCTCAAATGAAGGCCAAGTTACCATCTGAGGAATCTTTGAAAGAAGATGTTTTTCCCCAACAACACATTTTCACATCTACTGACTCTTAAGTCTGGAAGTTGACATTAGCCAGAATCTCTCCTATTCAAATTTCAGCTTAGCTCTTGTTTTGTCATAGATGTTTACAGAAAAGAAGAATAAAAGTCATGTAACTATTACAACTAAGTAACCTGATGACATATAAAAACATAAAGTATGGATATACCTATGGCTTAAATGTTTAAATTTAAGGCTATGTGTCAAAATGGTAGTGGAAATGTCTATATTATTCCCCGGGCATAGTGGTGCATGCCTGTAATCTCAGTACTCAGGAGGCAGAGGCAGGTGGATCTCTGAGAATTCCAGGCCAGCCTGGTCTACAAAGTGAGTCCAGGACAGCCAAGACTACACAGAGAAACTCTGTCTTGAAAAATAAAAAAATAAATCCTAAATTATTGAAATAAAGGCCAAATTAGCTCGGTAAATCTATTCCTTAACATCCTATAGTTACAAAATTATACAGAAGAAAATGAAATTGTTTTGTCACCTAACATTTTAGCACAAATGAACTTGTGTATGTGTGTGCTTACACATTTGCATGCACATGAAGGCAAAGGTCAAATAAGATGTTTTCTTCAATCACTTTTCCACATTACTTTTTGAGGCCGGGTCTCTCATAAATGTGGAGTTCACAAATTCATTTAGACTGGCTAGCTAGTGAACACTCAGGGACTTCCTGTCTCTATTCCCAACCTCTGCTAGTGCTAAGATTATAGGCACACACTACCATGCCTGAGTGCTTTTGTTTTAGTTTTAACATGGGTACTGGGATCAAACTCTGACCTTCATGTTTGTGTGACAAGCACTTTACCAAGTAAGCTATCTCCTGAATCCTCAGCCTTTTGTTCTTTAACACAAGGTCTCATGTAGCCAGGCTGGCTTAAACTTGTAGTCAAAGATGACCCTAAACTCCTGATCTTCCGATATCTGCCTACTCAGTGCTGGCAAGAACTGAACTTTTCTTAGGTTAACCAGAACAGAGGGAAAGTTGGTCCACTGGTCCATGGCAGACTCAACCTCAATCAATATCTCTCTGTCTGTCTGGATCTCTCTCTCTCTCTCTCTCCTCCCCTACTATAGTATACAGGCTGGTCTGGTATTTCTAGGCTCCAAGAATCTTCCTGTCTGCTTTTCCATTATTGGATCTGTTAGAGGCACTTCACAACTCCCAGGTCCATCTATAGTTCAGGGTCAGAAAACGATGTTATTTCAACCCCTCGAATAATGACTTTTAGTTTTATGGGTAAAACCATAAACTGTTTCTGTTTAAAGATCTTTTTAAAAATGTTATGTATATGTGTGAGCTGAGTGAGTTTCTGTGCATCTCACATGTGCAGGAACCCACAGAGGCCAGAAGACGGTGGCAGATCAGCTGAAACTGGAGTTCCAGGAGGTCACCTGCTGCCGCTCGGACGCTGTTACCACCACACTGTATGAGGGAAATGAAACTTTTCCACAAAATTAAAACGTGAATACCGTACCAGGTTTAAACATCGTTCAAAGTTCTGGCTTATCTGCAAAGCAATGTGCAGTTTCCTGAAAAAGAAGAGAAATCAATACTGTAGTCTGCCCATCTGAAGGAAAACATGTAGCTGAATAGACAAATGATCAAAATAGTGACTCAAAGTACAGCACTCACCGTTCGTGCATTGCTTCTCTAATTGCTATATTCATTCCTTCCTCCTAGGTGGGGAAAGAAGGATAAACTAAGTGCCCAATTTCTACTGTTCTACTAAATTTCATTTGGGTTAGGAGTTTCAAATTTTCACTAAGAGGAATTTTATTGTTATTCACCAGGCTATGGAAGAGCTATATTGATTCATTATAAACAATTCTCTACACAAGTGTCTGGCTCTCTACTCTTTGTTACTCTACAAATTACCACAGTAGTAGTCTACTTGCTATGCATTGCCACGTATCAGATACACAGAAACTGACTGGAGGAGAAATGCTGTAGCTTTCAGCAGTTGAGGAAGAGAACACCAAGATTCACAATCGAATGCTTTTCTCTTCTAGTAGTATTATGGTAGTCTTAGTCTATAGCATACTAAATGCCTACCAGTATGGATTTGTTTAAATAAATAATGGAATTAAAAGATGATTTAAATCAAACTATTGACATTCAAAATATGCATAACAGTGCTGGTGATGGCTCAGTGGGCAAAAGTGACCTGGTTTTATCCCTAGGACCCACATGATGGAAGGGGAAAAGCAGCTCCCTAAGGTTGTCCTCTGACCTCCATACTTGTACCCCAAAATGCCCCATCATATAACTACACATCAAACAAATAAATGAAATAAAAATTTAAAACATGTATTACCTAAGTGTGGAAATGGATTCTTTTTATATAAAATTATAAGAGAGGCACTTAGAATGTTTTAAAAAGAAGTAACAAGTATTAGTGAAAATCTGGAGAAACTATAACCTTTGGGTACTGCTGGGGGTGATGAAAATGGTATAGATTTTGTAGAAAAGTCCCAAAAGGGATGGAAATAAAAACTATACATAATATTTTACACCAACATTCATAACAGCACCATTCACAAGAGGGAAACAAACAAGTGTCCTTCAAGTAGATGAGGGGCCAAATGTGCTATGCCAGAATATTATTTAGCTATATATAAAAAAAAAATTAAGGTATGATCTAAGTATGTAGCTCAGTGGTAGAGTGCTTATTTAGCATATACAAGGATTTGGGACTCAACTACCAGTACTACAAAACAACTAAAGTCCTGATATGTACATGGACAAATCTTGAAAACATTATACTTAAGTAGAAAAAACCAGGACAAATACTAAATGGTTCCTTTTATAATTATACCTAGACTAGTCAAAATTCATAGAGCCAGAAAGTAGGAATGGAGCTTACAGGCTTGAACTGGGGTGGTTATGAGAATATGAGGCTATTGTTTAAATGGATACATAGTTTCTTTGGGACATGATAAGAAAGTCCTAAAAAAAAAAAAAAAGAAAGGGTTGTTTAACATTCTGAATGTACTAACACCATTAACTGTACTCTTAAAAATGGACATTGCAGCTGGTCCTGATGAGCCCTGATAAGCTAGGGTCAGATGGAAAGGGAGGAGGCGCTCCCCTATCCGTGGACTTGGAGAGGGGGACGGGAGGAGATGAGGGAGGGAGAGAGGGGTTGGGAGGGAATTGGGGGGACTACTGCTTGGATACAAAGCAAATAAACTGTAATTAATGTAAAAAAACAAAAATTTATTTAAAAATGGAACAAGGGATACAGTCTGTGGCAGACTGCCTGCCTAGCATGGGTGAGGGCCTGTAGTATCTGCTACTCTATGAAGGCCAAGACAGGAAGATCACCCAAGCCCAGGAGTTCAAGACCAACTGAGGCAGCACAGTGAGGTCCCATTTCAACACAAACAAATGAAAAACAAATCTACAAAGAAACTTTGGGCAGAAGATAATGCTGGAAATGTGAAGTTGAAGAAAATTTTGGGGCAAATGAGAGAATATTATAAAAAGAAATTCATATTTATTATCAATACTGAGCTATTATTAATAACATTTAAGAATTTCTAAAAATACCATTTCCTGTTTATTTTATGCTTTATTAGTTCTCTTCTGGGGAAGGACATATTAAGACAAAGTCTCCTGTAGATAAACATGTATCTTAGACTAGCCTTGAACTCCTGATCTTCTTGCTTCCAGCTTCTGAGCATTGGATTTATGGCCACTGTCGTTTCAGATTTCTATTTTGTATATATAGTCAATGATTCATACAGTGTACTAGCACAGTGGTGTATATTCAAAATGTATAAACAAACATGGCTATATGTACTTTATAGGCATGAAACTTACAATTTCTCATTGACCTGTGTGATTATAACAATTAAAAGGTCCAGGCATGAAGACCTCCCCTATCAGTGGACTTGGGGAGGGGCATGCATGCAGAGGGTGGAGGAAGGGAGGGATTGGGACAGGAGGAGGGAGGGAACCACAGGGGGGATACAAAGTGAATAAAGTGTAATTAATAAAGAATGAAAAAAAAAAAGGTCCAGGCATATAGCTCTATGGTATGCTTAGCATTCACAAAAACCTGGCTTCAAACCCAAACAAAAGATAAATTTAAAGATTATGTCCTTTAATGTGGACACTGAATGTCTCAAAGTGGTACAAAGTCATTATGTAGCTGAAAATGACCATGAACTCCTGATCTTCCTTCTTCCATCTCACAAGCACTGAGACTCCTGGAATGTGTTACTACAGCTGGCAGTTCTTTTACTTTGTTTTAGGAAAACACTCCCTGAATTAAAAATATAATTGTCAGCTGGGTTGTGGCGGCACATGTTTGTAATCCCAGCACTCGAGAAGGCAGAGGCAGGTGGATCTCTGAGTTTGAGACCAGCCTGGTCTACAAATTGAGTCCAGGACAGCCAAGGCTACACAGAGAAATCCTGTCTTGAAAAAAAAAAAAAACAACAACAACAAAACAAAATAAATGTAATTGCCCATGACTGTTTTTAGAATTACAGAAACAGCTGTTTTAATAATAATAATAATAATAATAATAATATAGGGTGAGATGGTGCAGGGAGGGAAGATGCTTGCCTCCAGGCCTCCTGATGATGACCTGTTTGAAATACAGGAAATACAAGGAAATGTACCACAGAAGAAAAGAATCAGGTTCCACATGTTAGCCTCTGACAGCCACATACGTTATGGCATGTGTGTGCACTCGGGGACACACACACACACACACACACACACACACTAAATAAAAAAAATGATCTAATTTAAAATGAGCAGGTGTTAATTTTGAGAATTCTCTAACCTGTTTGATTTGGAAAATCCGGTTGGATGATGTACGAGTATGGGAAGGTAGAAACAGCTGAAAATTAAAATAGAAATTAAATTTGCTTTAAAGTTATTCATTAGTCATTTAAACTATGAAGTTAATCTTATTTTACCTAAAATACTTTTTTGGGTGTACAGCATCAGGGGTATTTGTTAACTTCAAAGCTTAAAAAGTAAAAGTGGGGCCTGGTGGTGGTGGTGGTACACACCTTTAATCCCAGCACTTGGGAGGCAGAGGCGGGCTGATCTGTGTGAGATCGAGGCCAGCCTAGTCTACACAGATAAACTCTGTCTCAAAAAAATAAAACCAAAAATAAATACATGAATAAATAAATAAAAGTGGGTCTTGACTAAAGTATTTTTATTCAGAAGTCTATGTGGGAAACTACAATTGCTAGCAGAAGAAACATGAGACAAAATATCAACTTTTTGTTTGTTCGTTTGTTTACCTCTGACGTTAATCTGTTTTTTGAGACAAAGTCTCATGTGGGCCAGATTGGACTCAAACTCCTTTTAAGGCTGAGCCCCTCTACTTCTGAGTGCTAGGGTTTCAGGTACAATACCACATCCAGCCCCTTCGTCAACCTTTCTTTCTTAAGATACCAGATATCAATGTCACCTCAGCTTTCTTGCTGCTTTTAGCCAAACACTAAAGCTCAGTGAGAGGCGTTACCAGCAGCCAAGCTGCCTCACAAACAAAGGGAACAGGGACAGAATAATGTCATCACCTATCTTAGAATCTTGCTGGTGAAAACAAATTTCCATAATATGTGTTGAGTTAAGGCAAACACTTTCAAGTAGTTTACATTTTATTCTTGGTTGCTAAAATACTTGTTGCCTAGGTCCTTTCTTTTTTTTTTTTCAGAACTTCTTTTTTTTTTTTTTTTTTTTTTTTTTTTTTTGTCTTATCTCAAAGCTTGTGAAAACCCATGTAAGAGGAGGATAAAACAACAAGGGGATTTAAAGCTAAACATAGACATAAAGCTTAAAACACCCTCAGAACTTATCTATCCTATCTGTACTCTGGTTGTTTCCCAAAATGCTTGGTAGTGAATTTATCATGTCTGGCTTTCACATTCTGATTTTATTTATAGTGACAGGGAATCAAACCTACGATTGTCTATATGATAGGTACGTGTTGTGCCACTGAGCTATATCCCCAGCCTCATTTTATATTAAGAACACACTGAGTGGAACATTTCAAAAATACCTAATGAGTACCTACTGTGTGATAAAGCATTTTGCTAGGACCTGAGGATCCGGAAGTAAATACACTATCTTCCTGAACTAGCTAGTAAAAACAAAAACAAAGAAACACCAGAGCAGAGTTCTGACTTGTGGGAGTTCCAAAGGGAAGAATTGTGCCTGTGGTCCAATAGGAGGCCTCACAAAGTAGACAGGAAAACTTAGATTTATTATTTTATATGTATAAGTGTTTTGCTGTATGTAGCCACATGTGTGCCTGGTGCCCTTAAAAGTCAGAAGAGAGCTTTGGATACCCTGAGACTGGAGTTACAAATGACTGCAAATCCCTATGTGGGTGCTGGGATTCAAATCCAGGTCCTCTGCAAGAGAAGCACGTGCTCTTAACCACTGAACTATCTCTCCAGCTGGAGGTAGGAGTTCTAACTCTGTACAGAAGGCATTCCAATGAAAAGGAATAACAACTCAGGTAGAGGGGCATGTAACCAGGCACAGAGAAGCTCAAGGTTGACAGAACTGACTGGGAGGAAGTGGCAGAAAACCAATTTGATGAAAAGTGGCTGAAACTGAATTGTAAGTTTTGCAATTTAGCCTTTGTTCTCAATAGAAAGCAAAGTATAGGTTTCTCTGCACTCCTACATCTTAAAGGTCTTTTAGACAAGCAAGTCTTGTCTGCTTTGAAAGGCTAAAAACAAAGTAGTAGCGATATGTGGGGAAAGTTTCGAGTGAAGGAAGGAGGGCTTGAAAAATAGTCAGTGGTCTAAATGAAATGGGGCTTGGAATGAAGGAAGTGGGTTGGAATGATTAGAAAGTGGAAAAAGCACTCAGTGTAAGCCTCACAGTTGAAAATAATAGGCATATGGCAGCCAAGAAAAAGAGTGAAGATGAATGTGTGTCAAACACATGCTTTCTTGAAAGAGATGACCTTATGTTTTACTATGTTTTAAATGTTATCACATGACTTCTGCAAGAGCAGATTACTTCACTAATGATGTTTTGTTCGTAGTATAAAAATCATCTTTCCCATAATCTTTTGCTAGACGGTAGAAGAACAGTGAAGATTGTAAAAATGGCCACAAAATATTCATACATTAATTGAAAAATCCAAACAGAAATTACACATGGCACCCCATGGGGTGGTGCACATCTGTTGTCCCAATACTCAGGAGGCAGAGGCAAGCAGATCTCTGTGAGTTCAAGGCCAGCCTGGCCTACATGGCAAGTTCCAGGACAGCCAGGGCTACATAGGCTATCCCTTCTCAAAAAGAAAATTTTCTTTTAAAGGGCACGCCTTTGAGTTCCTATAGAGGTTACATCTGGAGATTATTATCACTGTTTTCGTCATAGTTTTGGTAGAAGTATGACTAACTCCTACATTTTAGTATTTGTCACACCCTTATTGTATGTAAGGAGCTGCTTTTCTTATCAAAGGGAAAAAGAAGAGATTAAGACATAGCTAACTATAAATATGTCCTTCAGGGACCTTATGATCCCTTTAGGAAACCAACGATGGAAACAAATATATCAAAATGAGAACTATTGGGCATGATGGTGCACATCCGTAATGCCAAACCTCAGAAGCTGAAGGAGGAGGATTAGACTTTCAGGTAACCTGGAACACATAATAGAAGCCTGTAGAAACACACAAAACACAGAGAAGAACCCCAGCTGAAAACTAATTTTGCCCCCTTTGCATTATTTTATTTTGGAGTGGCGAAAATACTTAGTGAAAATATTTGCCTCAAATAAAATCATTTAGACAGAGGCTGGTGAGACGGCTCAGCAGTTATGAATGTGTACTGTGCTTGCAGAGGACCTGAGTTAAATTCCCAGCACACAACTGCCTGCAACTCCAGATTCAGGGGATTCAGCACTCTTGTCTGGACTCCCTGGGTATTTATACACACACAAACGCACACACACTTTAAAGTAAAGTAAATGTTTAAAAAAAATGCACACATTAGAAAACATGTAGACAAAAGAAGGACAAAGCGACAAGAAGCAAATGGCAAATGGAAGGAAAGGATAATGGGGATAAAAAAACAAAGGCCAAGCAGGCATTCAGGGGAGTAAGAGACAGAGAACAGAGGCTTAAGGTGGCATTTGATTTGAGTTGCGCCCTGTAGAGTGAGGAGTTTGGTTGCATATGCCATAGAAAAGTGAAAATGATTGATATATTTTAGCAAGGATATTAGCCTAGTGTGCAGCCAGGCAGGGAGAGAAAGAAGAGAAGGTTCTGATGCCAAAAGAGTTGAAGATGACAGAGAGTTTTAGAAGATATGCTCAAAATTTTAATTGTAGACAAATTATTGACCCCAGTAAATATAGGAGAGGAACAAGTAGGAGGTTCTACCCAGCAGCACTCTATATTTAATTTGAATGGACATCTGCAGATATTCAGCTCTAAGCATGGTTTAGTTCCTAGCCAGAGGTGGTGTATGACAAGTGGGGGCTGCTAACTGAAACCAGCTATTTTCTAGCCATTTTTTTGGCCTAATGTTTCAATACACTGTGTGTGTGTGTGTGTGTGTGTGTGTGTGTGTGTGTGTGAGAGAGAGAGAGAGAGAGAGAGGGATGGAGGGAAGGAGGGAGAAAGAGGTGGCAAATCATTCCACACTTATTATACTAGATTTCTTGGAAGATATTTTGATCTTCTAGTAAGTATCAATATAAGTATATATACTGATATACTTTATGTATATATATATATGCATATATTGATTAAGTATATATATATGTTGATAATTAATAGTGCAAAGGGCCAGTTTAATTTGAAGCAAAGACCTAAAATTTCCTATCGGAAAACTTTGCTCAGGAAATCATGAGAGGACAGTGTGACTGAAATGAATCTCATCGTGTTGAGTAGGGCTGAAGTGAACTTATAGAACCATAAGCCAATGGAGGAATTTTAAATTGGATACATGTAGCTCAAATATTTGATTGGCTGGTTCTTTTAGTAGTACCCATGTGGAAAATCAACCAAAGAAAGCAAGAACTCTGGAAGTCAGTTTCCCCCAAAATAAAGTGGTGCTTGCAAGGAAGTTGCTTTGTGTTTTTCTCTTATGTGAAACAAGATACTGAAGCTGAAATAGAACTGGGTTGTAGTCTAGGAGGATGAAATTCCTTGGAAGGAAGCAAGAGTACCAGTGCCAAGAAATGATGTCATGAGGTGGAGGGGGCTAGAGTGAACTAGCTGAAACTCACTACCAACAAATGTGTTTAACTAAAGAAATTAAAGAAGTCTGGGATTTACTTTTTCTAAAAAGCACAGCTGGGTATAGTGGTCTATGAATCCCAGTACTCTAGAGGTTGAGGCAGAATCTTGAGTTTCTGTGGCGCCTATACTGCATGGAAATGAGAAACAGAATTAAAAATTAATTTGTATAAATATTTTTAAAATAATTAATTTTAAAATGTCCTAGTTTTACTATTTTTTAACTCATTTCCTAGTGCAGTTGCTACAGATACAACCCTGAAGGAAGGGCTGTAGGCTATGGTAAGAGATTGTTCTGCCTGGTTCCAGAAATGACTCAAGGCAGCTTGTATTAGCACTTCACAGGGAGTGATGTGGACTAGATAGACAGAACACAGAATGGTGCTAGGAATGAAATGATGCATTTGCTATTAGGGGAACATACACTGATTTGGAGCTTGTGGTGGCCAATGTGTAAAGCTAATATTCTATTCCATAGATATTAAGGACCATATAGTTAAAATGTTTGGGCCCTCTGTGGTAGCACATGCCTACAGCTGCAGCACTTGGCAGAAGAACTCGAGTTTGAAGACAGCATAGGCCACACAACTCAATCCTGTCTTAAAAAGAAAGAAAGA